GGAGGCGGAAGTTGCAGTGAGCTGAGATCACGCCACTGTACTCCAGCTTGGGTGACAGAGTGAGACTTTGTCTCAAAAAATATATATAATAAAATGGGCCAGGCACGGTGGCTCATGCCTGAAATCCTAGCACTTTGGGAGGCCGAGGTGGGCAGATTGCCTGAGCTCAGGAGTTTGAGACCAGCCTGGGCAACATGGTGAAACCCTGTCTCTACTCAAAATACAAAAAAGTTAGCTGGGCATGGCGACGTGTGCCTATAATCCTACCTACTCAGGAGGCTGAGGCAGGAGAATTGCTTGAACCTGGGAGGTGGAGGCTGCAGTGAGCCGAGATCTCACCACTGCACTCCAGCCTGGGCAACACAGTGAGACTCTGTCTCAAAAAAATAATAATAATAAAATGATAAAAATGATAATTAAAGAAAAAGATTTAAAGTGATGATTTTAAAGATAAAAACTAAATGTTTTTCTCTTTACATTTTGCCATGTTTTTTTATAAAATTCATCTTTTTATAATAATTTTTTTAAACTTTCAAGTTTGAAACGATTATAGATTCACAGGATGTTGCAAAAATAGTACATAGAGATCCTAAGTACTCTCTATGCAGTTTCCACAGTGATTTCCCACACCTCACCATACAACTATACTATTCGGCACTATACAACTGCATACTATACTGTACTGTGCAACTATATTGTACGACTATACAACTATATTAAACTCTTCTGCACTATAGAAGTATACTGTGCAACTGTATAGTATACAGCACTATGTAACTATATAACTATATGATTACTATTCTGCACTATACAGCTCTATTACTATACTGTACTGTCCTATACAACTATACTATACTATACTATTCTGCACCACACCATCATAGTTCTGTATCATAACCAGGAAACTGACATGGGTACAACCCACAGATCTTGCTTTTTAAAATAAGATTTATGTATTTTTTGGAAAAAAAAAGCAAAAAAAAAAATACTGCTTGTCTTTATTTTTCTGATTTCATCACAAGCCAATGAAAAATTGCTGAGAGGTATTTGGGACCAAGTAAAACAATGGTGGGAACTAGGGTTTTGGAACCAGTAAGGCCCACATTTAAATGCCAGTTCTGACTTTTACTGGCTGTGTGATCTGATATAAGCTCCTTGACCTCTCTGAGCAAAGTGACCCAGAATTACTGTGAGATAATAGAGGAGTCTCCTTTGACTAAATGTCTCTAGTGGACAGATTGAGACCTCTCGTTGGCAGAACGAGGCTGAGGCGGGGGGTGTCACACTGTGTTCCTGGTGTAGGAAGGACCGAGGGAGCCAACACCCCGAAGCCTCTGCCCCTGCTCCCGCCAGGAGCTGCTTCCCTGCGCTGGGGCCAGTCCAGGGCTTCCTTGGGAAGTGGTACCGTGCACACAGTTAACCCGCAGGCTCTGGTCCCCAAGACCTGTATCCCCATCCCGGCATAACACTCCAACTGTGGCAGGCCCTGGATCGCGCACTCAACTCCTCAGCTTCCTCTTCTGCACTCAGAGGAAAGCGATGTCCACCCCATGGCATGAGGTGGATAGTAAGGGAGCCCAGCATAGTCTCGGGCACATCTGGAATGCCACCAAACCAGTGCCCTCCTTCCTTCCTGCCAAAGGCACTCTTAGGGTGCTCTGGACGGGAGAAGCCAGGTCTCCCTACAGCCCCTCTGCCCCCTCCCTGTGCTCCAGGGGCCCTCCACACTGAGTCTGGCATCCCTGGGACTCAGAGAATCCCAAACTGGCCCATGGTGAGGCAGAGAAGGGCCAGCCCCACCAGCCAGCGCGTGCTTCCAGTTCCTTGGTGGACATGCACGGCCCCCTCTGAAGGGAACACCTGGCACAGGTACTCTGGGCAGCCCCTCCTTGAAGGGCCTTCCAGAATCACTGCCTGATCGTTCCAGCAGGGGCCTGGGCCCCTTTGATGTTAGCAGCCCCCGAGGTGCCCCACCCAGATTCCCGAGCTTTCTGGCCCCACCCTACTTTCCAGGAGACCTGCAGGAGTTGCCAGAGGACAGGTCAGAGGCCCAGCTCCACCCTGACCCTTGGCCACAGTCACAGTAGAGAACCAGGCGCCTTTGTTCCTGGCCCAGGCTGAGACTCTCCCACAGCCATGGGGGCCAGCAGGAGATGGGACACATTAGGGGCTCAGTGTTTTGTGGCAGAAGGGAGAGCCAGGCCTCAGAAACCAACAGCCTCAGTCTCATGGTCCTCATCACTCTTGCCCTCAGTGATGATACAGAGAAGTCACCCAGCTCCAGGTGCCCACAGCATCCCCTGGGACTCGAGTCACAGGGTGTTCATTTTATCAAGTGGAGTGGAGGCTATTGCTGAACAGGACAGAGGACTGTTGGGACACTTACTGCCTCTCCATTGTCACAAGTGGAGAGCGAAGAGCTGGTGCAGTATCTCAAGAGGTTAGGGCTCCCAAGCCAAACTCTCCACTTAAAGCAAATAGTTTTGCAGGTGAACAATCCCCTGGGGGCTAGAGGTGTCAGGTTCGTAGGAGTAGATGATGGGGGAGCTGCCTTCACCATTAGTAACTTTTTTTTTTTGGTGGGGGGATGGAATCTCATTCTGTTGCCCAAGCTGGAGAGCAGTGTAACCTCCACCTCCCGGATTCAAGCGATTCTCCTGCCTCAGCCTCCCGACTAGCTGGGACTACAGGTGCGTGCCACCACGCCCAGCTAATTTTTGTATTTTTTAGTAGAGACAGGGTTTCACCATATTGGACAGACTGGTCTCGAACTCCTGACCTTGTGATCCACCCACCTTGGCTTCCCAAAGTGCTGGGATTACAGGCGTGAGCCACCGTGCCTGGCCACCATCAGTAACTTTTGAAAAAAGAAGTGGAGCAGCAAGTGAATGGGTGCTGGGCCCTCGAGGGGAGGCCAGGGGACTGACTCTTTCTCTGTCCAGGGCTGCCCTAAAACCCCAAACCTGCCCGGTGCATGGAAGGAGGCCACACCTCAGAAACCCAGAGGCCCAGTCAGGGCAGGCTGAGGCTGTTGACAGGGGGGCCCTACCCAGGCTCAGACCCCAGGCTCTTGTCCGCCTGACCCACCAGTCAGCTGTCCCCCAGAGCAGTCCCTTTTCTCACCTTGGCTATTGTGTCCACCACGCTCACGAGCGGCTGCTTGGCAGGGTATTTGGCCATGTCCCATTCAAAGTGGGTCACAAAGGATGTTAAGTCAACTGGAAGAATACAAACACATTTCAACACATGAGCCTGCGCTCCGCGTCCACGAGCGAGACTTCGGAATCCCAAGTCAAGCATCACCGTGGACACGAAGGCAGCCATCATGGGCAACGCCGGTGGGCAGGCACAGGGCTCTGGCAAAGCAAACGTTCCCTGTGGGAGCAGGGAGCTGTCAGCCCGTGGGAGCTGTGAGCCCGTGGGGGCTGCTCCCTGTGGGAGCTGTCAGCCCATGGGAGCTGTTCCCTGTGGGAATGTGAGCCCGTGGGAGCTGTCAGCCCAAGCACTAGGCAGTTTCAACTCTCACTGTCCATTTCAAAGAAGGTATTTTCCACATTAGCGAAATGCTGGACTTTGTGACTGTGGTTTATATTAAACGGCAGGGAGGTGCATTTTTCAGTATATGCTATTTAGAGAAAAGTCTCTGGTGAACAGACCACACCAGTGTTTTCACACATTTCCTTTTTTTCTTTTCTTTCCACCAAACCCACTGCCTTCAGAATGTCTCTGGCTCATTCTAACCAGGTGTGGGGTGGAGAGAGCCCCGGAATTGAAGTCAGAAAGAAGCAACACTAAATAAACCTCAGCTGACTCAACCCTTAGGCTAGGAGAGAATCCGTTTCCCTCCCTGAGACACAGCAGAGTGACACCTTGCCTGCTCTCTTCAGATTAGTTCGCCACACGCTTAAACAGAGCTACCTGGGCCAGCCGCCCCAGGACCTGACCTCTTTTAATACGCCGGTCTATGGGAAAGCGGGAAATTCCCCGGAAGCTGCAGTGCCACAGTGGCCCCTGGAATTCCTGAGCCCCTGGCAGAGGGCCCTTCCTATGGCGGATGTCCCAGACCAGGCTCCCTGTGCACTGGCACTTCCCGGTCTATCCTGGTGCATGAAAGGGGACTGTCACGCTCACTCCACACCCATCACCCTGCTGGGGACACACACTAGACACCACGCCCTGCCCAAGGTCCACAGGGAGACCCCTAGGCAGACACTCCACAGAGAGCTGGGGGCCCAGCGATAACCTCCTGGAGTGCTAAGGGAGGAGGAAGAGCTGGCGCCGGCTCCCGCTAGGGAGGATAGAGACCCTCCACTGGGACACAGACATGTTATTCACGCGGAGGCTAAGGGGAAGAGGAGGCGGCCATGTGGCCGGTGATGGAGGGCGTTGGGTGTCAGGCAAGGAGGGCTGGCAGCGTTATGTGCTCAGGGCACTGTGAGTCAGAGAAGAGGGAGTGTGGACGGGCACTGAACAGAAAGGGGTAGGATCAGTCACCAAGGGTCATGTCTGCACTTCACCGAGTGCCAAAAACAACACTAGATCCCACCCACTCAGCCCCTAGCACAGGAATTGGACTGAGATTCCTCCAACCCCGACAGTGGCGGCCAGTGGGGTCACCAAATAAGACTCCAGCCGACCAAGGGGAGCAGGCTGGGGACACTCACACACTCTGGGGGAGTCCTCTGAGGCTGGCGTGGAGGAGGCTCCAGGCGAGAAGCCAACAGGAACGTGGGAGGGAGAGGGTGGTGCCAAAAGGAGTAGGAGGGGCCCTGGGAGGGGAGAGGAGGACAGGGGAGGACCGACTGGACAGGGTGCAAGGCAATGATGCAGGCCTGGTGACACCAGCTTTCCCATTGGGTGGCTGGGTGGAGGGAGAGAAGTACACTAAGCTGGGCAGCCATGGAGGTGGGAGGGATGGGGACGGAGGAGAGGAGGCAAGTTCCGCCTGGGACAAGCTTGAGTTTGACATGTGGGTGGATAGGTCCCCAAGAAGCAGATGGGAATGAAATGGGACACGGAGGAGGAAACCGGGCTGGGGAAGAAATGCCAGCGTGTGAGACATAGGAAAGGTCTGAAGATAACAGGACGACGATGGTGACAATGACCATTAAAGCAGCTGGCACTTACTGCTGCTGACCTTGGGCCAAGACACATGAATTATTCCATTTAATTTATTCTTCAACCCTATTAAAACCCTATGATGATCTCGATTTTACAGATGAGGAAACTGGCACAGAGCAAGCTATGGAAACTCCAGGATAAAGGGAGACAATGCGTGAAGCACCTAACGCCCTGCTTGGCCCATGGCAGGGCCACGGCTCCCTTCCCTGCCACATCCACTAAGTGGACACAGCCATGCAGCAGGTGGAACCTGCCCAGGAACCACACTCAGACAGCTTCTAGACCACCGAGACTTGAAGAAGGTCCTTGGGAGAATTTGTTTTACAGACTTTAGGACGCTGGTGTTGGAGTTAACATGGCGAGTCCTGGCCTGTTGACAAGAGTACCTCTGAGGCACTAAGGGTGGGGCCCTGATCCAATGGAATTCGAGGCCATATAAGAAGGGACAGCAGAGAGTTGGATCCGTGCTCTCTCTCTCTCCTCATGCAGGCACCAAGGAAAGGCCATGGGATGACACAGCAAGAAGGTGGCCATCTACAAGCCAGGCAGAGAGCCCTCAGGAGAAACCAGGTTGTCTGATCTTAGTCTGTGGTTTAAGCTGCCAAGTCAGTGGTATTTTGTGACAGCAGTCCAGGCTGACTCAGACATTGGTATTAGTTTGGGTATTAATACAGGTTTTGGTATTGCCACACACAGTGGGAATGACCTTGTAGCAAGGGTGCAGGCTAGGGAGGAAGTGAGAGCAGGGAGCGGTCAGAGGGTAACCAGGAGGATTGGGAGGACTCCTCCTGCGGCAGGAACAGCAGCGAAACTCACCTCCAGGACCCCACTGCACAAGCACAGGCAAGGTCACCTCCCACCATGGGCCCAGAGCCATCCCACAAGCCAGGAACCAGTCTCAAGGCACCAAGCGGCAGCACAGGATGGGAGATGGCAAGGCGGTGTGTGCCATCCCATCCATCTCTTCCCTCCACCTCCTACCTCATCCCCTCTGACACCCCAGGCAAGTCCCCACAACTCCCCACTCTCCTCTCACAGCTGCCTCTGTCCTTCAACATGTAGGACAGGGAAAGACCAGCTCCTTCCAGGGGTGGCCCAACTGTCCCTGCTCCTGCTGGCCTGAACTCCACTCCTTGTGCTGTCTCAGGTTCCTCAAGGACAGTGACTGTGACTCACTGGTCTGTGTGTTCCCAGAGCCTGTCACAGTGCCCTGCACAGAGCAAGTGCTCCATAAACATGCTCAAAATACTGACAGACTCCTCCTGGCAACCATGACTGTGGTATCAGCTTGCACTGTCTACGTGGCTTGGAAGAGATACATTTCAGATCAAGCTTGTATCTCTGGCCATTTGCACCACGTCCAAGGCCTTCATGGCATTCAGACCAAAGGGCTGAGGTCTCCCTTTCCATCTGAAGCATCCCTGCCCTATAACTCCTCCAAGACTGAACCCGTCTTGCAGCTTGGTCTTTGTTTCCATCACGGCGCATGTGGCACTAAGAGTCTGTCCCCGGCAAGGCTGTGGCTTCCAGAAGGTGAAGGCCGTGCATCGCCACCGCGTGCCCAGCATGTGCTTGGTACTGACAGATGCTCAGGGAAGTCTGAGATGATGTCTCCCTGCAGGGGCCTCCAGAAGCTTCTGGGTGTGTGACTGTGACTTCCTCCTCATCTCTCACATGTCTTGAACACCAGCTCCAGCCGTGTACACTGAGCCTTGCCCCAGGTCAGGCATCCAAGCCCTTCCCTGTCCATGCACCTTGCCTTTGGAAAGAATGTTGTCTGAGGATGGCCCTTTGCCATCCCTCTGGTCTTTATGTGTTTTTTTTTGAAATGGATCTCGTTCTGTCGCCCAGGCTGGAATGCAGTGGCACCATCTCGACTCACTGCAACCTCTGCCTCCAGGGTTCAAGCAATTCCCCTGCCTTGGCCTCCCAAGTAGCTGGGATTACAGGCACACACCATCACACCCGGCCAATTTTTGTATTTTTAGTAGAGGCAGGGTTTCACCACGTTGGCCAGGCTGGTCTCAAACTCCTGACCTCAGGTGAACTGCCCGCCTTGGCCTCCCAAATTGCTGGATTACAGGCATGAGCCGCCGTGACCAGCCAGATCTTGCTTTTTAAAGTAAGATTTATGTATTTTTTTCAATAAGAAAAAAAAATACTGCATGTCTTTATTTTTCTGATTTCACCACAAGCCAATGAAAAATTGCTGAGAGATATTTGGGAGCCAGTAAAACAGTGGTAGGAACTAGGGCTTTCGAACCAGTAAGGCCCACATTTAAATGCCAGTTGTGACTTTTACTGGCTGTGTGACCTGATATAAGCTCCTTGACCTCTCTGAGCAAAGTGACCCAGAATTATTGTGAGATAATAGAGGAGTCTCCTTTGATTAAATGTCTCTAGTTGACAGATTGAGACTTCTCGTTGTCAGAATGAGGCTGAGACACCCATTTAGTGCTGGGATTACAGGTGTGAGCCACTGTGCCCAGCCCCTCTGGCCTTCTCTACTCACAGTACCACAGCTTGCCCTCGGCAGCTTGGAACACACAGGCCTTGCCTCCCCTGCCTGGGCTGTAGTCACTAAAGCCTGGGCCTCAGAGGGGGTAACGCGGACCTGGGCTGAGGGCCCATGAGGTCAGACCACGACCCAGGCAGGCTTACCCCTCATCAAAACACGCTTTGCACAGGCTGGCAACTCTTGAGCCATGACGGTCTTGTCCGAGAACCAAACCAAGGCCTGCCTGGCAGGCAGCAGCATGAGGGATGGTGACCAACCAGGCTGTGGCCCATCGCCCAGCAAGCCAGACAAGCCTCGATGGTTTCTGTCTTCTGTGGACATTCTGGGGCCCAGGCTGCGCAAGGTGTTTGCCAGCCCTCGCTGCAATCAAAGCTGTGTCCTTCCCTGCTCCCAGCTCAACTAGAGGCAAGGAACAAGCAGAAGCAACAGGTCCTGGTGAAGCCAAGAGCCTGTGAAGCCGTTCAGTCCATTTACAGGTGAGAAAAGGAAAATCCAGAAGTGACTTTTGGACCAGGTCTGACCGGCTGCGAGCAGTGGTGCCCTAATTGTCCCCGGAGGAAATAGGATTAAAATGCAACA